CTTCTGTGAACATTTACAGCCTCAGAAGCCATATGGGACAGTTTTACTCTGCCCTACAGAGATGCTATGAGCCACGACTGGCAGCAGGTTTGGGTCTTTTAAATTCAGGCAATAGGTTACTAACAATCTCTTCACCGTGAAATGGTAAAACATTGGCATATCCAATTTTGACTTTTTTCCCCTTCTTGTTTTGTACCGTCGAATCAGATTCGTCTAGTACAGGAGGAGATTGCCCCTCCTTCTCCAGCAGAGCATCTTGTAGATTCGAACTATGCACCTTTGGGATTGCAGTGCAGCTTCTTTGCCACTAGGCCACCAGAGCTCCCTGGCATATCAAATTTTGAATTTAGGTTTACAAAAAGCATTATGTGCTGGAACGTCCTAAATTGATTGAAGATAAGTTTTATATTTTCTAGAAGCTTAAAACCTAACTTTAATAAGAGCGTTGTAGTCTCTGACTCCTATTTTATTGCATTTTATTAATGTAGCTTTCAATAATAAAGCATGAGAGTTCTCATTAAAGGGCACTTCCTTCGGGGATGAAAGCACTAAGTAAAGCAAATGTGATTAGAATGGTTCCAAAGTATTAATTTATTTTATGTAAAAAAGCATAAAAATGTATGCGTGCAATTTCTTAAGAGTGGCAAGCTAAATGTGTGCCTGTGAATATATTATTATCGAAACACCTAACTGTCGGTCTGGCCAAGTCACCGTCGCTGACAAACGTGATTTTGTCCACTAGAGGGCACTCAGCATGTTACAGTGCTCCTTAAACAGAAGCACAATCGTAAACAAAATAGGAGAGTGAAAAGCCCTGGTTTGTGTACGCACACGAACATTCACAATAGTCAGGGGAAGGCGGGGTGGAGAAAGGGAGCAAAAGCCAATAAAACTCCAAAGCTAAAATCAAGTGGAAGTACTCTGTATTAAGCAGTTTGAAGAAACATCCTCTATTTTTACAGACATCATTAAGGTTGTTCTAAACACTGACCCCATGCCGTAGATTCATTTGTAACCTGTAGTAATCCTACAGGACAGAGGAGAACTGGGTTTCCAAGGCTAAAATCTTTCTGTGAATGGGCAGTGAATAGTAGCCAAGGGCTTCCCCACTGAGCCACCAGGGTTCCCTGGATTTTAACTAAAGATTGCTTATTTCCCCACAGGTTAGAACTATAAGGCTCTGTTTATTACAAATATTATCTGTACTAGTCATCACCTGCAAGTTACAAAACTAAATCCATAATTGGTAACTACAGAATTTCTTAAATGTCTTTATGTCTTTTTGCTCAGAAGAACCACAAAGAAAGTGGTTTTGGTTTTTCTCTACTAGTTTATTTGCTCAAATACAAATTCAAACAAATTCTTCATTTCCCTCACCTCCCCATCAAATTGTAGAACCCAAGGATTAATCTTCCCCTCCCCCTGCACAGCCACATCCCTCTGCTTCCAGCCTCTCCCATCCTTCCTGGATCCTTATACTCATTCTACAATATTTTTATTTATTTATACAATATTTATCACAAGAAAAGTGTGTTTTTTTAAGGCACTCCTGCAGGAGAAATTCTCAGTTAGCAACTATCACAGGATTCCTGAATTTAGTCTAGAAATAGACTGCCAGGCCTTTCTTCCAAGGTGCCTTTGGATGATTCACCAACCTTTTGGTTAGCACCTGAGTGCCGAATCATCATGTTCACTGCCAGGAGACTCCTTATTTTAAAACACACACACATACGCACTCGCACGTGCACCTATGTGTGTGAGAATATATATATGTCAACCTCGCCATCTCAAATGCACTCATTCCCACCACTCCAGTCACAGAATCGATCCATCTCACTGAAGGTCTTCCTCTCCTTTGCCGCCCCTCCACTCTCCCAAACATGATGTCCCTCTCCAAGGACCAGTCCCTCCTTGCAACATGCCCAAAGTATGTTAGACAAAGCTTCAGAATCTTTGATTCCAAGGAGCATTCTGGCTTCACCTTCTCCAGGACAAACCTGTTTGTTCTCCTAGCAGTCCATGGTATATTCAACACTTTTCTCCAGCACCACAGCTCAAAGGCATCAATTTCTCTTTCTATCATCCCTACTCACTGTCCAACTCTCTGACGCACAGCACGTAATTGTGAAGACTCTAGCCTGGATCCGGTGCACCTTAGTCTCCAGCCTCACGTCGTTGCTCTTCAGTATTCGAGAGGTCCCTCACAGCTGAATTTCCCAGTGCAATTCATCTCCTGATTTCCTGGCTGCTGTTACCAAGAGTGTTGACTGTGGAACCAAGTAAACTAAAACTGTTAACTATCTCAATCTCTTCACCATCCATACTGATGCTGCCAATTGACCCAGTGGTGAGAATCTTTGTTTTCTTGATGTTGAGCTATGTAAATAGGTATATATGTGTGGTGGTGGTGGTGGAGTTATTAGGTGCCATCAAGTATAGCAACCCAATGAACAACAGATATGAACCCTGTCCTATCCTGTGCCATCTGTAGACTTCCTGACACACTAGAGCCCATTCCAGCAGTCACCACGTCATTCCACCTGGCGAGGGTCTTGCTCTCCTTTGCCGACCCTCCACCCTTCCTAGCATCACGTCCTTCTCCAAGGAATAGCCTCTCCTAGCAACATGCCCAAAGTATGTGAGGCCAAGCCTCATTATTCTTGCCTCCAAAGAGCTCTCCGGCTGTACCCTCTCCAAGACATATTTGTTTGTTCTTTTGGCCATCCATGGGATATATTCAGTGCCTTTCTCCAATACCACAACTCAAAGGCATCAATTTTTCTTCTGTCATCCTTATTCACTGGCCAGCTCTCAGATGGATAGCAAGTGATCAGAAAGACTATGGCCTGCATCAGACACATCTTAGTCCTCAAACTCAGACGTCATTATTCCTCAATAATCTAGAGAGATCTCTATCTGCAGATTTTCCCAGTGTAATGGGTCTCATTATTTCCTAACAGCTGGTACCAAGAGCATTAATTGTAGATGCAAGCATGATGAAACTGTTGACAGTTTCAATCTCCTGTTCACCCATCATGATGTTGCCTATCAGTCCAGTGATAAGAATCTTTATTTTCTTGACATCGAGATTGTATGTGTTGTGTGTATACCTGTAAGTATATGTAGGGAGCTCCAGTGGCTTAGTGGTGAGATGTGTTGCTGCCAAACCTAAGGCACTTAGTGCGAATCCACTCGCTGTTTCATGAGAGAAAAGATAGGCAATCTCCTCTCATGTGATTTTAAGCCTCTTAAAGCCTACTGGAAGGCCAACTATATGAGTCTGTTCCAACTTGACAGCACATAATAACAACACATGTGTATATAAAACTTTAAACGGGTGCACAGTAGTTCCTTGGATGTATTACATCATAATTTATTTACATTTTTAATTTTATAACAACCCCCAGGGGTGCATATTTAGGTTGTTTCCAATAGTTCACTGTGGAAAAACCCTTTAAAGGGTCCCCTCTCTGGTGTGGCCACCAAAGTTTTCCCACTTATTTCCTCAGAAAAGGCTTCATTATAAAGCAACTATACAAATTAGGAAAAAACTCAAAATTGACTCTGACCTCAGTTCTTCCACTTCAGAAATCCCTTGTCATTTTCCCTTCCCTCCTTTACTGGGCATCTGTCAACTCTCACAGAATCTCCCTGTTTCTTTCTTCTCTCCTGCAACTTTCCCTTTACACTAGAGTACATCCTGGTTGTGGATGTGTGGGGGAGAAACTTCCCAAACAACCCACAGCCCCAACTGGTATTTCAAAAACACATGGGCCTTTATTTTGACAATTAAATTCCTGTTACTGCAGAAATTGTGTCCAACTCAACTTCCAGCGCTAGAAGCAACTTGGCTTGCTGCAGCATCCTGATGATTAAGACAATGCATATTTTTTCCTCTCCCTCAGAAAGCTTTGTACATATCACAAGGGTTAATGGCCTAATTCTTCATTATCTCCCCCATCCACATTCATCACAAGACACCCTGCCCAGGAAGGCAAGAATGAGAGGTTATTGTTAAGACAGAATGAATGAGACAATGTGCCGTTCTGTTCTTCTGACCTGACAATGTGACCAGGGCAGGGGCGCTGTGACCAGGCAGGGGCACCGGCTGGGCCTCCCTGCCTCCTGGCACAGCTGCCTCTGTGAGCTGCAGAAACAAGAACCTGGCTCAGGAGCTTCTCCTCCCAGAGTCCTCTTCGTCAGGAGCTTCTCCTCCCAGAGTCCTTTTTCTCAGAAGCCTTTCCTCCTAGAGTCTTCTCCTTCACGAATACCAGGAGGAGCAGATGAAGTCAAGATGGACAAGCCCTACCTCAATAAGAGCTTGGCCACTGGATCTGACTCCTGACTACACTTGTCCATCCTAATGTACTAACACTGGAGTGATGATCGGCTTTTTTCTTTGTTCAAATATAAACTGTGGCAAGCTTCTGAGAATGAGATGCCACAATGAGAAGACCAGCTTGGGAAGAATCTTAGTTGCCCAAATTTCAAGTTATAAATCAGACATTTAAAAAAATTGTGAGTCATATCATTCGCACACTGAGATGGCAAAGCATTTCATCAAAAACTCTATTGTTCCCTCAGGCACTGCATCAATACGATGCATCTACGGAGGTGTCTTTATGTTCCCTGGGATGGCACACAGTTTCTCACAAAGCTATTTAAGATGTTTATTGTACTTTCTGGAAAAATCCTGTCTTTCACAGTCGACGAGGATGACTTTCTTCAAAGACCAGAGCAAGAGCCAAAACAAAGGCCCACGGAAGAAACCAGAATCTTTCTGTTGGGAGTTCAAAGTCTTATTCTACCCACCAGCTTCTCATAGACTTCTAACAAGGGGGAGTTTCAGGAAGTTATTAGAGGCCAAGGAAAGGGCAAGGGTTTCTTTGTTACACTCTGGGTTTTCATTCAAAACAAAACAAACCATCAGAAACCCCATAAAATTCAAGGTCAAAGCAAAAATTTCAGACAACACCCCGATTTCCCAGAGCCAGACTCACTCTGCAGCCACCATCTGGGGGATGGGTTCATCTAGCAGTTCCAAGCTGTGCAGGATCCAATAGCAGAGCCATGGGCGGCTGGCATCCAGACACTGTGGTGGGGAGAGGGGAGAAAACACACACCGCTTATTCAGAATCAATCTGAAACACTGCTGACAAGGCAGATTCTGTCTCACTCCTGGCAACCCAGCTAGGGGGAGGAGGGCACCCTATGGACAAGAAGGCTTGAGAGATGCTCTCTTTGTGTTCTCAGCCAGGGGCCAAAATGGATATAGACAAGGAGAAAAGGAAAATGAGGCAAACAACTTTCCTTCCACCTGGTGGGTCCTTGTCTAAGGAAGCCTAAGCAAGTACTTCTTATACACCAGGATGTCATGTGCTGCTATTTCCTCAGTGTGGACCCAGGGAGATATTGAATTTCAAGAAGGGATTTCCTGGCTTAACTCATTCATTGATTTTGGAAATATTCAGCAAGAATGTACCTGTTCTAAGCACTATATTACACACTAGGGAACGATAATGAATACAATTTGGTTCCTATTCTTGAGATGCCCTGCATACAGACTGTGCAGGGCTATCTTTGTGGAAAAGGGCCCTAGAGAGATACGTAAATACAAGCTTCCTTGGATCTTCCTGGAACAAAGTGGCATATAACACACGCATAAACATAAATAGATTAAGGGCTGTAACCAGCAAAAACAGGGTCTTAAGAAACATACAGAAGACTAATTCTTAACTGTGGGGGCTGGTGAAGGCTTCCAAAGGTGGTATGTGAATAGATCTTGATCCTAACTCAAGCCATCAATATTCAGTGAGCATTCAGAGCTAAGCAGGGCAGGCAGCAATGGACAGACTGAAAACATATGAATGAAATTCAGAGAAATTAATTTCTTACAGATTATAAAGACAGCAAAGGTTAGAGTAGAAACAAAAATTGTTCTTCAGACTCCCAGTCCAATGCTCTTTGTGTTGGCTTCAAGTGGCCTTCTTCATCAATGTCAATCCAGAGCTGTGGCTGTCTGCAAGCCCACTGCCAGTGAGACAGTCTGATATGGGACTAAACACTTTGTTATACATTTGGCTTGTTTGGGTTTGAATCCCAGTATCTCCTCTTACTAACTATGATTACATGCAATGCCTGTTCCCTTATCTGTAAAACGAATACCTACCTCGTATGGCATTTTTTTAAACTAAATGAGATAATGAACGTTAAGCTTTTAGCTTGAGTTCCAATAAACCGTTAGCTATTCTGGTTAATTACAGCAGGATGGACTACACTCTAATCAAAAGCCAGATTAAGTCCATGAAAGCACTCTGCTTAGAATGTTTTGTTTAGAAGTGGCTGCTATATTTTACTATTGGATGATTCACACAAAAAAGGCTGGATTCCTGGGTTCGTATGAATAAAGAATGCGTAGGTCTGCAATTCTGATGGGAACAGGGTGAAACGTGACAGCGTCAGTCAGCCTCAGTCTCCATTTATCCCATGTCACTTATTTAATGCTTTTCAGCTGTGACAATGGAGAAGAGTACTGAGTATCCCACGAATTTCCGGAAGGACAAACAGATATGTCTTGGTCAAAGTGTGGCCAGAATGCTCCGTGGAGGCAAAGGTGACAAAGTTTCATCTTATATATTTTAGGCATACTGCTTGCTGTGTACTGCTGAGTTGGAACCAATGCTTAACTGATCCTCCAGAAGATTTTCAGAGGCAGAAAATTACATGGGAGGGGACTGCCCATCCTTCTCCCACAGAGAAGCTGATGGATTGGAACTGCTTGAAAAAGGCTACTCCTTGGATAGCGGTATCACACTTGGGAAGCGGAAAGTTAGTGCAAGAGAAAAAGCCCCTCAACGACATGGATTGACGCAGTGACTGCAGCAATGGGCTGAAATGGGTCAGAGATGATGAGTACGGCACAGGATAGGACCAGGTTCAGACTTGCTGCTCATAGGGTCACTATGAGTCATATTCGACTCGACGGCACTAACAATAACAAGCTGCCTGCTCGGCTGTTCACAGGCATTTGAGTTTACAAAGCCCTGACAGAACAAATGTAGGCTCTTCACCACCATCCCAAATAAGCAGCAGACTCAAAGTAGGACTGTTATGTGTAAAGTGACACAGGAAAGCTGGAGGCTCCCACTCTTCTTTGTTGCCCTCAGCCCTACTCCCAAGCCCTTATTCCCTACATAAGCCCGTTCCACACACCTGAGGTCTCTCGTGGTTTCTGAGGAATGTGGTTTAAAAAAACCTACTTACTAAACTGCAGTGCTCTCTGGGATTTATAGACTGTAGACTGGTCCTAAGGCCAGTAAAGAACTTAGACCAGTTAACGGAGCAAAGCAGCTCTCGTATCACAATGGGTACTTGGCTGCTAACTGAAAGGTAGTAAGTTCAAACCTCCTATTGCTTGTTTAAGATCTATTCCTGTAAATATTACAGCCTAGAAAACCCTACAGGGCAGTACTAATCTGTCACATGGGTTGTCACATGAGAAGGCATTAACTCAATAATACACAACTAAAATAGGGCAAAGGGTTAGGGAATGACTAGGGAACTTTAGCTAATTGTCAACGAGTGTTTGCTCCTTTTAAAAAAGGACCGGCTTCCTCTTGAGCTGTATGGTCCGAGATGAATCTGCAACAGACCAGGCTCCTATGTCTTTTGTACTGGAACAGGAAAAAAATGGGAAACATGTGGCTAATAACTTAAGAGAATGTGTTCCTGGGCAACGTGTTACCTCATAGGCATCTGTCAGCTGTCGAAGGCCTCTTTTCAAATAATGGAAGTGCTTCTCTCTCTGCAAAATAAGCCTGAAAGACAAAGAGCATGTAAGTCTACTCTCATAGCTTCTGCTTCCACCCCTCTATAGGAACACACACACACACAAGCACACACACAAGCACACACACACGCACATGCACACACACACACACACGCTTCTGAGCTCTCCTCCACCACTCTACAGAAACACACACTCACACTCTCTCTCTCTCTCTCTCCCCCTTTCACTCCCTGTTTCAAGAAATTCCCCAGCAGCCGCTAGGTAGATAGATACCCAGCAAATTATTTAACACAAAAGCAGGTAAATCAAAGAAACCAACAACCAAATGTTTCTCAAGTGCCTGAAAACCAAGTTGGCAAAAAGCCACCTTCATGACGGTTGACTCTGGGCTAACAGAAAAGCCTCAATGAGCACAGGCAGCTGGTTAATGGCAATCTACCCACAAAGTGCCTCCAGGGGCTAACTAAGGACTGGTACCTTCTTGCTCCTCATCTTTTAACCAGTTTAATCTGACCTTTATTTACCACTTCTCTGACTAAGATACCTCTGCCATTTAACAGTCATTTCTTCTAGAATCACTTCTCCGATGTCTCTAGTTTATATCCTGCTCACCTGCCCTTCAATTATCTATTATTCCCTCCCTGAAATTCCACCTCCTATGTGCGACTCACAGCCTCGGCCAGAGGACCATGTTTGTATTCCGTAGTCCGTTGCTCTCCTTGGCACTGATGCCAGCAGAACTGGTTTTATGACAGAATGTGCCACCCGTGGCCGCCTGCCCTGACAACGGGGAAAGGACAGAGCTGTACTTCTTGCTTGGTCTTGCAGGTAGGAGCCCTATGTGGTCTTACACAGAAGAATGGAAACTAGAATGTCAACACATTCCCCCTGCTTGCTGATTAGATAGAAAAACAATGCAGCAGTGCTGTCTTGTCTAGGATTTTTCAATTCAACGAATGTATCTTGAACACCCCCCACACTATGAACAGAAGAGAAAAGACCATTAGTGTGGTTATTCATCCTGAGAAAAGCTTCTACTAGAGAACGGGAAATAAGATAACGAATGAAGAGATAAAATACTGAGGTTCAAAAGGGACATGAGGGGATGTCATTCTAGTAAGGAAGAGAGGAGAGGTGAGACTTACGGTGGACAGCCCTGATGGAGGGAGAACAATCTTACAGGTAGAGATGTGAGGAAGAGAAGAGATGTGGAGGTGAGTATGAAGTGGGAGGTGTGGCAGTTCAGTCAAAAGGAAAATAAACTAAGCACAGCTAGCAGAGCCATGGTCTGGACGGTAGCAGGTGCCCCAAGCTCTCCACCTCCCCTCTGTCCACCAGACCGAGGCAGCCAGAGCTCAACCTGCGGGCCCAGCAGCAATACTTAGAACAGTCCAATAGAAGAGACGTGGCCCGGTGGAATGGCTACACTGACGACCTCCTGGAGGAATGATGAGGACTCACTCTCCATCTGGGTCTCTGTCCCTGGGAAAACTTGTGTTAACATCATACCAGCTGAGGTTGGATTTCTTGTTGGCAAAGACCAGCCAACACTTGGGGGCCAGAAATGTTCTGTGATCCAGGAGCCACTATTAGTGGATGGGGAATACACCATGGATCATTGCACCAAAAGTGCTGGCAGAGAGCCTGCCTTCAACCTCACTGTCACCATGACAACCAAGACACAAGCCCTGCTGATGGCGAAAGGTGTCCACAGTGGTTTGAAGAGCAGAAATGTTATGAAATGGCCTCTCACCTGTGGTGTGCTCAGTACTGACCTCGTCTGCTCCTTTCCCCACTGCCCCTCCTGCTGCTTTTGCACCCCTATTCTTCTCACATACATACACCATTATTATTTTTGGGGGGCCATAATCCCACATAGTCTTTATTGCTGCCAAAACCACATGGGACAGGGGCCAGAGCTGGATGAACAGACACTTTCCCCTACCTATACTTCTCCTTTGTGTAGTTCGAAACTTTTTGGTTTTGGGGTTTTTTTCCTGAGTAAAAAAAAAAAAAAGAAGAAGAAGAAGAGGCATAAAGTAGAGGTACAGAGCTTCCAACACTGATGGAAACATTCTCTGCCTATGTACTTTAATGGAGCGCTGGTGGCTTAGTTATAAGGAATTGCACTACCAACACAAAGATACAGGGTTCGAATCCACGAGCTGCTTCATGGGAGAAAGACGGGCAACCTCCTCTCTTGTAATTTACTGTCTCTGAAAACCTGCTGGAGGGCCAGCTCTGAGTCAGTCCTAACTCAATGAGACATAACAATGCTCTCTAACAAGGAGAGCTGGGAGTCGAGTCTGTACTGTGTTCCACTGTAACCAAAGTAGAGAGTCTATGATAGTTCAAAGCCACCAGCAGCTACGTGGGAGAAACACAGGCGGTTTTCTCTCACAAAGATTTACAGCCCTGGAAGTCTGAATGGAGGGTCACTATTAATCAGAACCAACCCGACAGCAGTGAGTGAGACGCTGTCTAAAGCGGCTGCCACATGTGCTTCCCGAGCCCTTGAAATGGGGCCAAAAAAAAAAAAGAAATGGGGCCAGTGTGACTAAGGAACGGAACCTGCTGACTTTATTAAAATTTAAATAGCCAGGGGTGTCTTATTAATGGCCATCCTCAAGCATAAAAGCATGCAAGAGGAGTAAGGTGGGATAAAATTGGCCTGAATGTTAGGAATAAAGAAGAGTGGAAAAGGTGACTGGGGTCTAGAATAATAGTTGAAAATTTTCTACTTATTTGAGTAGGCAAAGGGAAGCCCTGAAGGCTTTTTGAGCTGTGAATAAAATTAATAGATAAATTTGCTGTCAGGGACCTCTTCAGAGTAACAAAAAACAACGATGTCAGTCTAGAGACCAAGGTGAGCCTAATCTAGGCCTTGGTCTTCACAATTACTTGATATGCATCAAAGAGTTGGATAATGACTACGGATGACAGAAGAAGAACCAATGCCTTTGAATTGTGGTGCTGGAGATGAGTCTTGAATATACCATGGACCACCAAGGAAACAAATAGGTCTGTCCTAGAGAGGGTGAAACCAAGTTTCTCCTTGGAGGCTAGGATTTTGAAGCTCTATCTCACATACTTTGGGCATGTGGCCAGGAGAGACTGGTCCTTGGAGAAGGACAACATTCTCAGAAAGGTGGAAGGACAGTGCAGGAGAAGAGATGGATTGATAAAATAATTGGGGCAATGGGGGTTGGTGTGATGGAATTAGTAAGACTGGCTCAGGACAGGGCAGGGTTCAGGGCTGCTGTACATAGGGTAATTATGGGTTGCAGGCAACACAATGGCACATAACAACAACAACAATAGAACTGTGCATTAAAAATTATCTGACAGCAAGAGATACTCAGTAGGAACTTACAAGCAGAACTGAAGGCAGGCACTGACATGGGGAGAAAGATGAGGTGGGAGGACTGCTAGTGTCAGCCAGGTTAGGGAGCACTAGCAGGGGACACAAGATAAGCTGACTCTCAGACATGAGAAATTCAAGGCACCAGAAGTACGCTGAGGAGAATATGGCAACTCAGCAGCTAGAAACACATATCTGAAGCTCAGGAAAGAGATTCAGGTGACACATACAGACTAGAATCATTTCCTGCCCAGGTGAAGCACAAGGAAGAAAGAAAGAGATGAGGGGAAGAAAACAGAATACAGAACTATGAGCAGATCCATCTTCTTGGAGAGAGGAAAGGAGATTGAGAAAGAAATGAAGAGTCTACACATGCAGAAGGAGAACAAAGACACTTTCATGCCACAGGCACCAAGGGACAAAAGAATTCCACAGAGGTATGGAGGAGTGGCAAATGATGTGGCAGGACTGAGGGCAAGGAGGGCAGTGGTGGCAGCAGGCTCTCTGCTGCAAAGGGTGATGACAGGGAAGGTCATGAAGAGGAGGAGGCAAGACTTCTTTTCCTGAAGGACCACTGGTGCATGCACTAGAGAATCTACACAAGATGAATAAAAGGATGGGGCAATCACCTCCTGTGTGATTTACAGCCTCTGAAAATTTGCTGGCAGGTCAGCTGTCATTGTGTTCAGACTGGACAGCACATAACAAGAAATGGCAGTAGTGAAGGCCCAGCTGAGACTTAGTAGTGCAAAATTTGACGGAAACCAGGCAGCAGACACTATTAGATGATTAAAAAATAAACAAAAACCTTGCTGGAATTCATCGACAAAAGCAATGAATGGAGAGAGGCCTGCTAGGATAAGGGTTGGCACGATGGGAACAGCCAAAGTCACAAAATCAAAGTGAAACAGCTGCTCATATGAGCTGGCCCTGGCTGAGCAGGTTGGAAGACAAGCCCAAAGTGGCTACTAAGGGTAAGAACCAAGAGAGTCCAGGAGGCCATGGGCAAACGCAGGCAGACCCAGCAAGAGAAGGGTGAGAACTCAAAGCCAGGAAGAGTAAGCACAGAATTCTCACTAGAACTCCTGATTTCTAACTTTTACCAGATCTAATGAGTGGCCTTGTGAGTTTTTGAGCTGTTAACCCAAAGGCATATGGCTACCCCTCAGGAGAAAGATGAACAATTTCCTCCCATACAATTTATAGCCTCTGAAAACTTGCCGGATGGTCAGCTAGAAACCAATTCCAAACTCAGCAGCAATTAATTGGTCTGAATGAGTCACAGTTAGGTTTCCTTTAGGTCATTTTCCCCCTCTGACAAACAGGCAAAAAAATTCATATAAGCCAAGTCTGCCCACAGGGGGAAAAGGGACAACAGTGTACACCAGAGGAGAACGTCATCCAACTATCCAGATAGGGCACACTAATTCACTAATTCCATTCAAAACTTTCTTTCTTTTCTTTTTTTTTAATGTCTCCCAATACCCCCTTTTAAAAAAAATTATTATTATTTTCTTTTGTGTATGTGTGTGTAAACCATCGAATCTGATTCAACTGGTACAGGAGGAGGTTGTCCCTCCTTCTCCAGCAGAGCATCTGGTAGATTCAGACATCAAGTCTTCAGGATTCTGGTGCAGCTCCTTGCCATGAGGCCACCAGAGCTCCCTTCAAAGTTCCTTCTAAATTTAAAGTTGTGTGGCCTTAAAGATAATGTTTTCTACATCAGCAAAGGTTACAGCCTTGGAACTTTATGGGGCCACTTTATTTGGTCCAACAGGGTCATTATCAGTTGGAACTGATACAAAAGGGATGTACTTTGTCAGAACATGTGTTCGGTATGTCTGTTTATGCGACTACACCACGGCTCTGTGAGGAGGCTCATGTCTGTCTTCAGCATCAACCACAGCGCGTGGCAAGGAGCAGGCTCGCATCTACTTGCTGAATAAACAAAAGAATATGGAACATACAGTCAGTTTTCTGACTGACTAAAGGAGGCTGTTCTCTCTTGATCCATATCCCTTCAACTTCAAAGAACCATAAACTTCAAAAGAAAAGTTAAAATTTAGTTTTGCAGGGCTAGGAGAGCAAAGACTAGTCTGAGGTAAGAATACACTGTTGGTCAATGGTTCTGTCAGTTCTCTCATGAGTATTTTCTGTCCCTCTCAGTGGTTTTTCCCTCCAGAGAAGTGAGCCTTTGGTTGTGACTGATGGGAAGACAAGGATTTGAACCACATACATTTTGGGTTGGCAGTGCAACTCCTTCGACTAAGCCACCAGAGTGCCATAGATGCGTATTTCATGTATTTCATGTTTTTTACTAAAGTAAATGTAGTACATAAATAAATTATAAGTGGGAAAGAGTAAATTCATAAGGGTGTAGGACAGGGAACAGAACCAACAAGGAATGAAAAATTAACTTTAGGGGGAAAGCACAGTATTGACAAACAAGGCTATTTAAAAGCATGGTTAAGAGGATGCAAATTTCATTGTTTTAAAATGAGAAAAAATAATTTCTGAGATAGAGAATAATAGTAAATGCATCAACATTTATTTTCAGCCTTGAATTTCAGCAAAAATCTGCTATTCAGCTTGGCTTCTCAGGCAGCTGAGGAGGCAAATGCCCACGTCAGCATCATTCCTGGCATCCCTGGACCTGTGTGTGGTCACTAGTCCTGACTGTGTGATCCCATCACAGCAGATCAGCACAATGACCTCAAAGACAGAAGCGAGAGTTATTGCTAATAATGGAATAGCCACCACAGCTGACAGCATTTTCTTCTTACATGCTACTGTGAGATTTTCAATCTGGGTATCAAAACGTTAAAGATTAACATTATGATAATAGCTTTTAAAGTCGTGATACATTTTCAGACTTAGATCCTAGAAGTTCATTCCATGATAATGATGTTTGGAATCAGTTTTACATTGACATATTGCTTTTAACACTCAACCATTTGGCTAAAACATGGATGTCTAGGATGTTAATTAGCATTCCAATTACCATCAGGTAATTACCCACCTTCATAGGCAACAATGATAAAATGAGAAATGTCAGGTTCCTGAAAACAAACCCAAAGCCTTTATATCTTTTATTACCCCAAGAGGAATAATTTTTTGTTTCCCACCCACACCTGACCCAAACCTATGAATCAGAAACTTTTTCTTTCACTCCTTTTTCTCTTCCCACCCTCCACAGCATGAAAACAACTTCACCCTAGACTACAGTCTCTCATTTCCCCTCACACAACAGGAAGAAAAAAGAAAAAAGGTAAATCCACGGATTCTATTCTGATGGTGGGTGAAAAAGGGACACCAAATGATCAAAGGTCTCTTAGGTTGGAAAACATGTTGAAAGCAAAGGACATGGAGACTCAGACAGTAGACAGTGACTCAGACCCCAATCAGTGAGTCATTTACGGGTGCAACAGTGAACAACAGGGGCAACAGAGGTGGGAAGAGGAGGCACCATGCTGCCGATACTGTTCTGAGAGACCTCCCATTCCGTGGGTTGTTTAAACAAACAGTGTCATTTGCTAATCTCCAGCTGTGCCTCAAGACAGAGGATTAATGTTACCATTTCTGAGCTTTGGGTGGATGCAGCAGTTGAGCTGAGCAGTTTAAGGAAAGACTCCTAATGAGTTGGTATCCTCCTTTCCTGGGAGGTGGGATGAAAAGAATTCCTCTTTCCCCACCAATGCTGTCAATTAGCCACTTGTTTTCTGCAGTAGCTAATTAGAATTTTCTGCTAGAAATTTTTTTCTAAAATAAATGTTTTTATTTTAATTGTGCTTTTAACAAAAGTTTACAGAAAAGTTAGATTTTAGGGGAGCTCTGGTGGCCTAGTGGCAAGAAACTGAACTGCAATCCCAGAGGAACACGGTTCGAATCCACCAGACGCTCTGCCGGAGAAGGAGGCGCAATATCCTCCTGTACCAGTCAGATCTGATTTGACGGTACACGTACACAAAATTAAAAAAAAAAAAAGAAAAGTTAGATTTTTCAATCATTTGTTGTTGCATATTTTAACCCCTCTCCCTCCCTTCCTCCTCCTCAAGTTGACTTTTTTTCTACTAGGTATTTTGGGTTTGGGGTTTTTTTTTATTTTTAAGGAAAGAGTGGGCAGGGGGGAAAAAGATATAAAGTTCTCTAAGACTGGATGAGGGAGCTCTGGTAAGCTAATGGTAAGGAGTTGTGAAGGCACACAGTTCAAATCTACTAGCTGCTCCCCGGGGAGAAAGATGGTCCATCTCCTCACATGCTACTTACTACCTCTGAACACGCACTGGAGGGTCAGCTATGAGTAGGTTCTGATTAGACAGCAGACAAGACAACTGGGTGCATTTTTAATGTTCTGGTAAGGAGAAGTGTCCTAGTACCCCTGCCAGGATTTAGGCTGTGAGGAAGTCTCATGAAGTCAGGAGAGAGGCCAACAGTGGTGAGGGGCTGCACTTCACACCCCTTAGATCTACAGCAAGAGTGGGTCAGTGAGCTGCCTAAATACACTCTGTTTAGAGACTGTCAAGGAGAAGCCACTCAATCATTCTCATTCAAATAACCATCATGCCAAGTTCTCCACTCCTGGTCAGTTTTCCTGGCTGGACGAGGATAGTTTTCCTGGCTGGGTGGTAACACTGGATGGTTTCTGAGAGGCAATTTATAACGAGAAGCAAAATGCTAATAAAGGAATGGAATATCCTTAAGAAATTTTAGTCTGATGCATTACAAAACATTGAAGAAAAAGCAAATATAAAAATTCACATGAAAAACTGAATTTCCGTTTATAACTCCCTTTATGAAATTTCTGATGGCAGGGGACATAACAGATTTCAACTTGATAAGATTCAAGGAAAAGAAGAGATTCACTTCGCACTTGAAATTTCATCCTTGGAAGCTGCTGCACGATCACCAATGAGAATCACGCTCGTGGCAGAAGCTCAAACTGCTTAACATTTTCCCAGTCGAATAAAAACTGCTATTAAAGAAATCCCTTACTTTGCCAGCCTGGGACTCTATATATCTACTTCAAAGTACAACGAAAAAAAGAAACACTTCGGAATTCTTGATCTGAACAGCAGACCAGCAGGATGCAGCTAAGAAGCTAAACCATGAACTTTCTTCATTCCTTGTCCCATCTCCAGCCCTCAGAGCTCAGGCCTTGACGGCATTCCCACGCTGAGGAAGGGAAGTCATCTGAGTCACAGCATATGCAGGGGCCTCAGAGCTTAGAGGTGGGTAAGCTCAGACGTTGGAGCTCTCCCAACCACAGCCAGGTGCTGCAAAACTGACTCTCTACTCATGTATGTCCCTTCAAACTCCAAACCACAGCTTACCTTGGAACAAGATGGTTGAACTTATAGGTACTGAAGACCTCTTGGATCTTTTCTTCTACTTTTGCCTGGAAAGAATGCAAGATATGGAAGAGAGAAAACAAATATAACAAATATAGATGACACCTCTATCAACTTTATCCTATACTCTTCTATCAACTATTGCCACAACTGGCAGGGGTTGCTTGGTGTGGTTGGATATATTACAGTGCTATAAGGTTGAATTCCGAGTTCTACAGGGTAAACAAGCAGATGCAGGACAATGGCTGAGTATACATGTGGTATCTATTATACTCAATTATCTTAATAACTTAGTCCATAATGGTCATTTTTAAATTGGACTCCCTGGTACCAGTTACTCAAGAAGGAGATAAAGGGACATACATTTTGTTTGCAAGGTTTGTTTGGTGTTCATTAACTAACCATTCTTAAAGATACAACTCATTCCTGTCATAGTTCTTATTGTTATATTAAACTATATCAATAAAGCATCAAACACCCTAATTAGGGAGCTTATTAGAACACCAATCACTTAGAGTCAAAGGGATAACAAATTTGGGCATTTCGCACACATGAGGACTTCACAGTACCATAAACTGAAGGGTCTTAGAAGATCAAGATACAAGAGAAACCAGATCACCAGTCTTCCGTGAAGACCTCAGCTCATGGGGGTCTCCTAGTACAGCCTTGAGAAGGGACAGGGGCCTGACGAGGATGCAGCTGGCTAACAGGGCAGTTTTCACCTTCATCAGAATCCCTGCCCTTTTTAGTGAGGCATGTTCTTGCTGGCACTTCAAGACACATATTAACTGTCTCCCCTGGAACTTAACAAAAATATGCCATTTCTTTCTGAAATACCCACTGAGTTAGAGCTTCTTATCCCTTAGACAACTGCAAACATCTATTGCAATGATCAGTGATGTGAGTCATCGAAAATGGAAGGCAATTTAAAATTCATTTATGTTTAGTCTTAGGACATGCTGTGGTATTCATCTTCAAACCCGAGTCTGAGGGATGATCAGGCTAAAGAATTTATAGTACATTAAAAAAAACAGGCTGAAGTCACTACAAGAACCTGACTGAAGAGGAATAAGAAAGTAATGTTGTCCCAGATTCTCCAGTTCTTTTCTTCCACTCCAGATACTCATATGGGACTAATCACTAGCCTAAATAAAATGCAGATAACATTTCTCATTCACACTTTCCTTAGCTCTACGTGAAATAGGATTGAGAAATACATGTCAGTGAAGACATAAGCTAAAGATCTGCCTAGGATATATAATACTGTGATATGTGACTGAAATGATGAATTTTAATAAGACAACAATTGGGAGGGGGAAGTTAGAAAAACTCACTTCCTTTACCCAAATGCAAACCCATTCAAATCTCTATGATTTAAAAGTAAAAAATGAGCCTGTCTCCTCCTCTGCATTCTGATACCTGGACTGCTAGGAGAAAAGTACCCAACTTTATTAAGAACTTAATAATATGAATCTGAAGAGGACCTGAAGCGCCTACTGCAGAGTGTCAAGGACTGCAGCCTACAATATGGATTGAGGCTCAATGTCAAGAAGACAAAGATTCTCACC